CATCTCTTTCAGCTCTTTAAAGTTGCTTTTTTTAAAAAAAATATAATATATATATATTATATATAATATATATATATATATTATATATATATATATAGTTGCTTTTTTTTTAATTTAAACACCTCACCTTGGCAGCTTGAGACCCTGTGGAGGAAATAGCAGCTTACACTTGAGAGAGACTGAGAGGTTACTGGGCGTCCTCTGCTCCAAGAGAAGGGAAATGAACTTGGGAGAGGGCTATAGAGTTGTGGCATGGCCAACTGTGCCACTTTCAGCACCGGGGCCAGATTTGAACATACAGGCTATGGCTTTTTGTGTCCCACCTCTAGGTTTTTTTTTTTTTTTTGTTTGTTTGTTTGTTTGTTTTGGTTTTGGTTTTGGTTTTGGTTTTTGGTTTTTCCCGAGACAGGGTTTCTCTGTGTAGTCCTGACTATCCTGGAATTAGCGCTATAGACCAGGCTGGCCTCGAACTCACAGAGATCTTCCTGCCTCAGCCTCCCAAGTGCTGGGATCAAAGGCATGGGCCACCACTGGCCTCACTTCTAGTGTTGATGCTTCTGACCCAAGATCATGTCTTTCTCCTACTTTCCAGTAGCCTCTTAAAAGTTTTTAGCACCCCTTGTCCCTTTCATCTTATCTGAGGTGAAGTGTTAGAATAGATGGAGACTGACAAGCATAAGACTTCCTTGAAAACCCCAAGAATTTTTTTGTATGTTTGTTGTTTTGGTTTTTTGAGACAGGTTTCTCTACGAAACAGTCCTGGCCCCAACATTTTTGTAGACATATTTGAGTTTGAAAAAAAAAAGTCACTTCAACAATAATATCAGTGTTATTTACATGGAGATGTTTCTTGGGCAGAAAATCAATTTGTATGGCTAAACTGTAACCAACAGTTCTCATCCTCAGAGGTGTTAGGTTCTGGAAAAGAAGAATTCATACTTTTTTTATCCTTTACTGGGAATAGAATCCAAGATCTGGAGCATTCCAGGTAGAGCTTTCTCCCCCAGGGGGCAGCACACCATCCCTTGCCCAGCTCCGTGCCTTCTCTTCCTCTGTGGGACCATGGAGTGTGGTGTCTATGTGTAGGGAGGTGGGTTGAGTGCTACAGGGGTGAGATGGGATGAGTGCTGCAGGGGTGTGGTGGGGGTGTTTTTCTCATCCTTTGCTCTCTCTTTGAGACTAGTTTTCCCTTTGCTCATCAGTTTCCCAGCTCTGTTCCTGACCTCTCAGGGTTTGCTTGACTCCATTCCTAGCTACAGAGAGAACCTGGACTCGTGCTGCACCAGCCAAATTCCCCATCCCACCATCAGCCTTTGCTCTTGTTACTCACTGGCTTAGTCCCAAACCCATTCATGCCCAATGTTCTCTGTTCTCCATTTTTTCTAGAGTTTATGTAGCCTGATAGCAACTCACTCCTCAGCTGTGTTCTTCTTTCTGTGAGGTCAATGCTGTTGCAACTACTGGAATACTTTTCTCTTTTCAGACATGTTCTTGCACTTAATAGCAAACCATCCATTCCATTCAGTCAAGAGGCACATTTTGAGGGGCTAATAGAGCATCCTTCCTGCCTCATACTACTGAGACAGATGTACCTAAGCACTTTCCGTATGGTAACAAATTGTGTCTTGCAATTGGTACCATTGAGGCAGGGATGGAGATGACAAAACAGATATAGTAGGGTCCAGCAACTTGCTCAGCTCTGCTTGGCTGTTAAGTGGTGCTGAGATTCGAACCTAGACTGACTGGCACCAGAGGTCAAATTCTTACCTTCCACTGTTATACCTAGAATGAGGCTAAATTCATAAGAGGCTCATTCACTACATATTCATGCAATAAAGATGAGTTGAATTAAATTGGATTTTGGTCTTGAAAGTCAGAGGAAGGAAGGAATAGAAGCAGTAGAAGTTGTGGAGCCATAAAGGCCAACATGAAGACTAAGGGGCGAGGGTGGGGAGGAGGAAGGACCTGTTTTGGTACCTGTTTCAGCAGTGTCCTTGTTCAGCTAACCACTATACTGGCAATGACAAAGACAGGCTGGTGGCTCCACCAAGGTGACTCAGGTGGATGAGCCACATTCCCAGTTATCACTGGTCTTAGCTGGATTCTGGCAGATAAACTGCCTCTTCCCA